CAGAAATCAAAGGCACTTAAAAAGGCCTATTTCATACTTCGATTTTTAACATTTTCCTTACGAAAAAACACTCTGGAAACGGAACCACAGATATAACAGGAAAGAAAGAAACCCACTACGGAAATCAAAAACAGAACACTATCTTTTTTTAATTCAGTAAAAAATGACATTGACTGGCTGAATTATGATGGATTCTGACCGGTGGCGCTTGAAATAATACATTTTTGCTATATTTCCATTTCTTCTGCTCCTTTTTTTTCTTGGTATCGAGGAGAAGCTGTTCTTTCTCGGACCACCTCCACCCTCCGCCCTACCCAATTCTACCTTTCCAAGGCAGGGAAGGTGCACTCCTCGCCAGGACTCCTGCTCTCGCCTTCTTAGCACCTGTGGCCAGCAGCCGGCGAAACGGCGCGCCCTGGACATCCATAAACGTTTTATACTACAGCTCAGTCCCCGCCGAAGCGTCTGCTCTTTATTCACCGCAGCCCTACGCTCCCTGACCCGCCGGCACAGAGTCCACCGTACGTGGGGGGCTGGTGGGGGGCAGAATTTGGAGTAGAAGCGCCGCCCATCGTCCTCCCCCGTCGCCTCCACGAAACGAGCTAAAACCCCCCATCTCGGGCCGCGAAGTTGTCACGCGATCTAGGGTAGTGTATTTTTCATCACGCGGTCTGGGGTACAGTATTTTTTTTAGAAGAAAACAAGCCTCCAAAAAAAAAAAAATTCAAACTGCCTGCGCTGGCCAATGGGGAAGAAGGGGGAGGTGGGCGGAGGAAGTGCGCGGCGGGCAGGGCCGGGGTGGGGGGGCAGCGGGGCGGGCGCGGGGGCTGGTACCGCAGGGGATTCGGAAAACGCGGCGGGCGCAAGGTTTTCGGCGTTTTTTTTTTTTTTTTTTTTCCCTTCAAAACCAGCTAAAGCGCGAGACTCCGCCTGAAGCTGCAGCTTAGCGGATCCACCTTAAATCTGCAGTGGACTCGGCGCAGGGGTCAGTGAGCGCAGCCAATGCCAATCAAGTTTACAACCACCAGCACGGGAGGAAAAAAAGAGAGGAAAAAAAATAATCTCCAAGTTCTCTCCTTCACAAACGCACACTCACACACACACACACACACACACATTCACGGTCTTTCACACACACATGCGCACACAAAAGCAAGGAGGGGAGGGAAAAACAGGCGCTCGACAGTGGGGGAAAATGTTTGCAAAATGCTGGTTCGAGGCTCGGTGGCCGCGGCCGGAGCGCTCGGGGAAAGTGCGCGGGAAGCGCGGCCCGACCCGAGCGCCATGATGGTCGCCACGGTCCGGAGCCCATTTTCTGGAGGGGGAGCTGCAATGATGCAATCCCCCGGCCCCGCGTCCCGGCTGCGCGCCCTTCTCCTGGCCTTTTCTTAACGTTCCTTTTGAGGCGCGTCGAGGTTTCGCGCCCATCGCATTGATTTATTTTTTCTATTTTTTACTTTGTGATTCCTGCCTATTCCGTGTGTGTCCCCACGAGTGACAGGCTGAGTACATGGAGGGCGGCACAGGGACTCGACTCCACGTATAAATACTAGACACTTTCGGTTCTGCGACCCAACCCCACCCTAACCCCACGCAAGCCAGATCCAAGAGGCACCCCTGAGGTTTTCTAGCACGACCGTGGCTCCTATTCCCCCCAGGTTCACTTACAGGATTTTTTATTTTTGGCCGGGTCGAGGGGGGTGGGGGACGTAAGGTGTGGCTCAGGTGAAAGAGATGGCAAATTAAAGAAATGCCTACTCTGAAAAACAGACCGGAGATCCTAGAAGAGCTTTGTAAGCACCTTTTTATATCCAAAGAGTTTAAGAAGCGCAAGTGTCTACGCTGACGGTGATGAGGACGAAATGGCGAAGACTGCGTTCCCCGGCCGCCGGGGAAGGTCGCTCCGCGCTGGTGGGGCGGTGGGCGCACAGTAGCCTGAAGGGTCACCCGCCCTTCTCCTCTCGCGTTGAACTCCACGGCTCCCCCGCCCCGATCACGCCCCCGCCCTCATTTCCCCAGTTTTTCCCTGCGCCAGGACCCCGCGCAGGGCAGCCGGCGATGCGGTGGGGAATTTTGCAAAGCGCGTGTAAGGGAGGAAGCGAGCCCCGCAAGCGGCTTCGCTCGGCCCCTCTTGCGCGACGCTGCGGCCCTCCTCGGCGGCCGGCGAGCCGGGACGCCTTTCGAAATGCGCGGGGCTGCGGATCATTGGAGCCCGGGATGGGGTGGGAGCGGGCTACCGCCCTGGAGGGTCCACGGATTCGGAAAGGTTGTCCTCTTTCCTCAAAGCCCCCCACCTCTCTGGAGGAGGCAGAGTGCCGACGTTGAGGGTTTGACTGTCGAGAGGAATAGAGATGGGGGGTCCGCCTCTTTCTATCGCCCAGAGGAGAGAAGATGAGGGAGGAAAGTTTCTGAGAAACCGCCCAGCCCAGCAGCGCTGGCCGAGGCGCGGCCGCCTCACGCGGCCTGCGGGCGCCCCGGGCGCGGGAACTGCGCGTGGCGACAGGGGCAGCGCAGGAGCTGCAAGTTGCATAGGAGAAGAGACTTTTCGTCCCCAGGCGCCCGCCAGGTCTAACCTGCAGCTGCCGCCGCGGGCGAGCGCGGGGCTACAGGGCAGTTTGGGGAGATGACGGAGCAGTGGCCCGGGTCGCGGGGCAAGGGGTGACTGGCGCCAGCGGCTGTATCTCCTCGGAGGGACGTCTGCTACGGGTCCCGCAGCCCCGGTCCAGCGGGAGGACGCTCCGAACCGCGGAGACGCATTTGGAGGCTTGACACAGACGTGTAAAAGGAGGAGGACAGGGTGACTTGGGGGCTGAGTTCTGTAAACGTGCCTGACGCGGCGAGCATCCACTTCTCCCTGGCCCTGTACTGCTAAAACGCAAGCTCTGAAAATTCACATTAAATAGGCCTCTTTAGGAAAGGAAAATGGGGTACAGGCAGCAATGAAGGGAATATTTTTTCTCTTTTAGAGACACTTTTTTTAAAGTACCCTTTTTTGCTCAGAGAAACTTTACTACATTTTTTCCTGACCCTCCACTCTTTTCTCCCCATTTTGACTTGTTTTTCTTGCTTTCTCAGTCTCCTCCTGACAAACACCCTGTATATGTGCTTAGAACGGAATCAGGAAAACACCTTTAATCTTTAATTAAAATAATACTTACTTGGAAGATGTGGCCCAGCCACCAAAGGACCTACTTTTCCCTTGGCAGCCGAAGAAAGGCAAACCCTGCATTAAAAAAAAAAAAAATTCGGGTCAAATATGCAGAAACGATCTTGTTTGGAGCCCCTTTTGGGGTGCAATCGTGGAAATGCAAGTATTTGAGGGAAACAATTTAACCCAAAGTCAGATTTTCACGATACACCCATGTGCAGCCTCCCAGAATAATTTACTTTTACACCTTGGTTGACTTTTTGAAGAGAACGTGGAATTACAGGTTATCATTTATAGCAAACCTGACTTTTAAATTTTTCTTTTTTCTTATTTAAGTAAAATATGTTATTTCTCTGCTCTGTGGATACAGGGACCCAAAACCCTCAAAAGTGGTTTTCAGATTAACCAGTTTGGGGATGTGTAGGTTATAACTAGGCTATTTAGAAACTGAAGAATCTGTGTATGACACCCAGTTTAATTTGAAAAATACCTGTTCTATCTAAATTAGCTTGGAATTACACCAATTTCTTAAAAGACCCATATATCTGAATATTTTCGACAAGATGTATAGACCATCTGAACAATTGCTTGAATTCCTCACAACACTTAGCATGTGTAAATACAGATTTTAGAGAAGTCACTGTTACTTTCATTTTCAACCCTGCAAATGTGTCATCAGACTACACTTTTGTAAGGATTTTTGGTTCTCACATATCCATATCTGAGGAGACATAAATATTTGAACTAATGCCATAGAGACCCTATTATTTTATTTATATGGAAATGTGACTTTTCTACCGTTTACACTTCTAAAGCTTTGTCCACCAAACAGAGCTAAGTGGAAAACAGTGACTACATTCGGACCCACAAGAGTATCATCTGAGTTGTGGGCCTAAATTATTCACATATTTGCCAATTCACATTATGTATGTGTAAATACGGCTAGAATACTAGATCAAAAAGTTTAAACAAAGTACAGTTCAACTCAATCAACAGCTATGGAAGTTTTCTTTATTGATTGCTTTATGTGTAACAATAATTGGCATCTTTTTCACACATTACAAAAAATTATCCTTGGCTCAGTATGCAATCTTTTAAGCATAGCCATATTATTAAACAGAAGAGAGAGAGAGGAAAAAAAAAAAAAAAACTACTCTACCCAATACAGCATTTACAAATGCACAGACATGCCACTTTGGCTTCTATACTGTCTAGATTTAAAAAAAAAAAAAAAAAATCTCTTTTTAACATAAATAAGTTAGTATAATTTTTCAGTGTCTTTACAGAGTTATGTACACAGGTACACTTCAGATGGTTTTGTTTCATACACATACACAGGCAATGGAGAAATACTGTTTAAAGATGTAGTATCCATTTCACTTATTCCATCAGTGTGCTTTCTCTCCACACACTTTTCTATCAAAACACCACTGTCCTTTGGGCAAATTAACGAACAGAATGAGAAGCTTAAAATTAAAAATTATTTCATTATTTTTTATGTGAGGTTACTTACAGATTTATAAAAATATCCAGGGATTTAGGATTATATGGACTGTCCACATAGCATAAAGTGAAAAGGAAATTAAGAAAAATTTTAACACATTTAAAAAATGTAGATGGGTCAATTCTGATCATTCAGAACACTTCCCTTACATCCCAGATTTTTGTCCAGGATTACCTGGAGTGATTACCTAACTGCCGAATAATTAACTGCTAAATTCCGATTTTAAGG